ATAGTAACAACCATAGTTACTACATAGTTACCAAAATTTTCATTCCCGCACGGTCAATCGGTTGGAAAGTACTACTTTCCCGCACGCTACTATAGCAACAACCATAGTTACTACGTAGTTACCACCATCACGGGAATATGCAACTTTATGGTTGCTAAACAAGGCTAAAAAATTGAACTTTGAAAGCAGGACAAAAAACATATTATTAGGGACAAAAAAAAGACAATAATATATAATATAGGACAATATTTTATATATTATAGAATACTTGTATTTTCCTTTTTTTTCCAACTAATTTCTTAATAAGGTATTAGGTTAACAAAAGCTTTTCTTTCGAAATTTAATTGCATTTACAATTGATAATTCAGTGTATTGTAGCAAACATTATATTACACATAAATATACATAATTAGTTTGTTATTATAATATTATTATTTCATGTGTCATCAAAAAATACAGTTGAATCTTATAACAAACGAACAGGAAACGAGTTTCCCACCCTCCACCAAACCCCCTCACCCTAACCCCCACTGTATGCGCCGAAGAAGAACAAATTTATTTATGTAAACTTATTATTAATTATAAAAACAAAAATATACTAAAAAAAAAGAAGTGATGTATCCAACGATAAAATTGATTTTTATTGTAAACAACGTATAATGAATTCTATTGTGGTGTTTTGATCATTTTTATTATCGAGTGTCAATAATTTAATATCACGTTGATTGTGTAATGCATAACTGATATGGTTGAAGGTTACGTGATCAACAAAGTGTCAAAAAATATTTCTTGATATTTAGAAATATTCCCGTTAATATATGAAAATATAAAACAGTAAAGCTATATAATTTTTTCTACAAATATACACATACACACACACACACACACACACACACACACACACACACACGCATATATATTTATATAATAATACACATGCCTCTCTATCTTTTAATTTCTCTTTAAAAAAAAAAAAAAAAGGAAATAATACAACAAAATATTTTTTGATAAATGTTCGGAAAAAAAAAAATAATAATGAAATAAGAATCTCTCACTCTCTTTCTTTCTCACAAACTTTCTCACTATCTCTCTCTCTCTCTCTCTCTCTCTCTCCCTCTCTCTCTCTCTATTTTCCTCTATTATTAATTATTTTTATTTAAAAAAAAAAAAAGAAAAAAAGATTGAAAAAAACGCGGAGCTAAATGTAGGGTGGATAAGAAATAAAGAAAAAATTAATTGAGAGGGTGTTAAGGAAATAAAATAAAAAAATAAAATAAAAGTAAAGGGGCTACGAGGAGGAGAGGTATGTGGGAGGGAGGGAGGGCGAGAACATGGACGGAGGTTATAATATTTAGTAAATATTCTAATCAAAGAAGAGGAGAATAATAATAATTATTATTATTATTATTAGAAAGATAAAAAATAAAATAAAAAAATGTTTAAATAATACTAACGTAAGATCATTTGTCTGTTTGTTATTTTACAGGTGTGTTAGCGAGTATGTTACTTTCAACGGATATTCAACACTATCAAGAAACGAATAACGTAACAGCATGGTCACATAGTGGTGATGGTGGTGCTGGTGATGGTTGTAGTGGTGTTGGTGGTGTTGTTGGTGCTGGTTATGCTAGTGTACCCTATAGAACGATGAGACCACAAAGAAAAAGGGATACTACTACCACCGATGCGAGAAACAACGGACCAGAACCGAAATACGAGTGCAACAGGTGTGGCAAAGCTTATAAGGCATTGACATCATTGAGCCGTCATAGAAGATTAGAATGCGGTGTTATACCTAGCGAGGTCTGTCCAATTTGTGATAGAAGATTCAAACATAGATTCGTATTAAATTCTCACGTGGTTGGTTGTCAAAGAAGATTAAGTCATATTATACAAAAGAATAACGAGTCACCACCATATCTTACCGAAGATCGTGACAATTCTTAATTAATAATATTATACATATTGTACACGTCTATATATATATATATATATATATATATATATATATTATAATATTACTATTATTATTAATATTATTTTTATATTTTTTTTTCAACGAGATTTCTTTTTTTTCCTCCTTTTCTCCCGCCCCCACGGCAGCCTCCTTAAGTTCTTCCTCTCTTTATCTTGTATTTTTTATTATTATTAATTTTTAGTATTACTATCCATCCTGTTAGAATTATTTTTTGTATTCTTTTTATATTGTCAAATATTACAATTTAAAACACGAATCTCCCCGTTACACATTTTTTCATTTACATCTTTCTATTATCATTGAAGTAACATTGATCGGATCAACCAAACTTATGTTAGCGAAATTATTATCCACGAGCCCTTTCTCCTTTTTTTGTTTATTTGTCCTTTTTTTTTTCTTATTACATCGTTCTAAAGAATATATCTTCTTATTATTTTCATTTAATTGTTATTATAGTATTATTGTGTATGGTCCATCGTTAGGATTAATTTTTTTATCTTCATATTATGATAAAAAAAAAACCACAATAATTTTATTTATAAATATGTAATAATTAATTTGTACGATGTATAGGTGACCATAGAATTTTATTGCGCAGAAACGATAAGAATAATGTAATGGAAAATTTAGTATTATATTTGCGATAAAATGAACTTTCAAGTTCCTAACATAAGCTAATAATGATAATAATAATAATAATAATAATAATATTAATAATATTAATTACAATAATAAGTATAATAATATAATTATGATAATAATAATAATTATAATAATAATACTTATAATAATAATAATAATAATAATAATAATAATAATAATAATAATAATAATAATAATAATAATAATAATAATAACGATTAATTTATGTTTTTTTAATTTATTAGCAATCGTCCATCATTTATGTGCATTAAATACTCAAACGATAGTATTTTTATTTTTAGTTCTAATATTTTCTTACTCATCCATATTTCAGTCTCCTAAACATCCCCACACTTCTTCCACAAAATTCCCCTCCCCCAATATAAATATATATAAATAAAATAAATAATCGTATGACTTCGAAATATTTTATAACTAATGTAAACTCTAACGAGAGATCATCGATAATAAGAATATTATGTGCAAACAGTTGTATTAATGTTAAACTAATAGACGATTTCATATTTTGATTTTTATTATTATTATTATTATTATCATTATTATTATTATTATTATTAATATTAATATTATTATTATTATTATTATCACTATTAATAATATTAATATAATAGTTAATATTATAATAGTTTAAAAAGAAAGATCATCATCGTCGTCGTGTTAAAATCTTAAAATAATGTAAAATAAATTAAATTATATAATGTAAAATAAATTCAAAAAAAATATTATTAAATTAAAGCGTACCGAATAGTTTATAATTCATTTTTATTTTTGACCAAGTACAATGCACAAGTTTTGTATCTCAAAAAAAAAAAAAAAACAACAACAAGAAATAACTGACGAAACAGTTTCTACGTGAGAAACATATGATGGAAAATAACGTGTTTTATGTAATCGACAAAAGGACGAGAAATGAAAAAAAATAAAATAAAATAAAAGAAAAAAAGAAGAAGACAAAAAAATGAATGCAATTAATTTACATATTTTTAATTATTGTTTTGTGACACACACCGATATGCTTTGTATACTTATAACGTTTTATGTATACTAATGTGAATAAACGGATCTTAATGTAAACACGATAGAATCCTCAATCCCATCATCCCCTACCCCTTAATTCCTACCCTCTTTCCTACTATAACGTAGGAAAGTAGTTTTTATTGAAATTATAAAATTTCCATAAAAATTGTCTTGTGTATATTTTCTTTTATCTCTCTGTCTCTCTCTTCGTATCTCTCTCTCTCTCTCTCTCTCTCTCTCTCTCTCTCTCCCTTTTTCTCTTTTTATTCTTTTCCTTGCAATATTATATCTTATTAACTGAATTGAATTTAACTCTTTAAATTGTGGTTTATTATATATATATATATATATATATATATATATATATATAT